CTCAAAACATTTGCCTCCTGTGCACTTTCTCCTAAGAATGGTTTCCCTTCCAGTCTTAGTACATGTGCTGCTGAAGTCAGCACGCCCTAAGGAAGATACTGGACGCATGAAACAGTGGTCAGGAGAGAAGCTTGTGGATGCACAGTTGTTTAGTTCTTAATGCCCAATATGGAAAAAAAAAAGTAACAACCTATAATCAATCTCAAGTGGGGAAAGTGCAGCCAGTGTTGGGGAGGAAGAATCTGGTAAAAAATATGGACTGAGAAATTCATGCTGTATGAAAAGTGATTTCTTTAAAATACTTAAGCCTGGGGGCGGGAGACTTGGCTTCAATGACGAACAATTGAAAATTACATATGACTGGAAGAGGTGGATCAGAGGGTAGGGGTGCTTGCCGTGCGAGTCTGACAGCCTGAGTTCAATCCCCAGCACCCACATAAAGACAGAGAGAACCAACCCTACAGAGCTGTCTTCCAACCTCCTGCAAGCACCGGTATGTCTGCACACAGACAAAATAAATAGTGAATATAGTAAAGACCTCATGACCGCAGGTATGAACCACGCTCTTGGATGGAATTCAGTTCTCTTTGAATTGATCTTTAAACCTAATAAGATCTCGATTAAAAACTGGAATTTTGAGTGGGTGGGCAGGGCAGGGGGACTCGGTGAGCTGATTCCTATAGCCCATCTGGAAGAGGCAGGTGGGCAAGGCTTCCACGGAGCTCAAGTTTCAGTGAGCCAACAGCACAGGCTCAGTAAGTTCAGTGGGATTCTTGGTTTCCCCTCCTGCTCCTCGCCCCCAGCCTGATCCTCAGCAGCAGTAGCAGCAGCAGCGGCAGCAGAGCTAGACCGGGCCTCTGATAGTCATCCTGCGGAGGCCAGCGCCTGGCACACACAGAACATAGTAAGCCCAGGCCCTGAAGATGGAATGACTGAGAGCTGAGAGGAGGAGGGGAATGAGACTGCAGACGAGAAAAGAGTTTGCCGGGAAACCGGGGTGGGAGTGGGAGGGGATATTAAGTGGAAAAGAGAAGTTGGGGCGAGCAGGGCTCACAGAACGTCTCATGGCCAGTAAAGGAAGTGGGAGAGGGGTAAGAAGTAAATGTACAAAAAGTCTGAGTCTTAAATGTGAGAAATATATACATAATTACATTTTATTGTATATAATATGTGAACATATACAATAAACATATAATAAAATGTAATATTAAATATTATAATAACTATAGAAAAATGTAAATGCATGGATTCGTCACAAAGCAGGCCAATTTAATAATCAAATCCCCTAGTGGTCCCCAGAATGTTAGCGTGAAGAGCAGAGGAAGGACACGGGGCATAGCAGTGTGTCGTGGAGCAAGTTCCTTACCCCTTGAATTCGACCTTAGTTTGGGTCCTTCTAAGCCTTGAGTGGGCACAGAGCAGTAGCATTCCCAGCCCTTCTCAGCCCTTTCCTCCACTGCTCTTTCTCCTTCTGTCAAAGCGCATCACCTAGTCCACCACTACCCAGTCATGGCCCAAACGAGCCTGATTATATCCCTAGCGTTGGCAAATGTGTGTTCTTTGCGGGCTGTGTTCTAAGTCCATGCAGTTAAGTGCTCAGTCCTCATGATAACCCTGTGATGTAAATAAGTTATCATTCCTAATTTACAAACGTGAAAATTTTAGGTTCAAGGACATTAAGTAATTTGCCCCAACAGCTCAGAGAATGAAAAGGGGCTCTAGCTGTACAGCCCACGATCTGTACCACTAAACTGTACTCCTTCCCAGGAAAAGGCAGGAAGTGGCAAGCCAAGCCATTGCAAGGCCTGGTGGAGGCACTGATGGAGGCGTGCAGGGGGCTCCATGGGTGTGGGATCAGCTGCCCGAGGAAGCTTCTAGAAATTCCGATAGTGATATCTGAGGGGACCACCACTGCCAGAATGACGTCATAACACCCCTCATGGCACTCTGAAGGTCTAAGGTGGCTCAGAGAGGATGCTAATCCCAGACACAGGCAGGATAAAGCTGTGGCTGGTCATATTGCCTCATGTATTGAAAGTATCTTGAAATCTAGGAGTACTGTGTGGTAATAAGTCCTCGCTGAGCTAAACAAAGTCAAAGTTTGTCCATGTGTCTGCTGCACTGTTCACTCTACTTCAAAATGATCAGTTCAAGGGCTATAAACAAAAATGCCTGGGAAGAGGGGAGGGGAGGAGATGCTATATAGGGCAGACACATGTACAAAACCTAGCAAAACCTAAAAGAAATGTCTATGTCCTCTACTTCTGCATTAATGTGTGCATGTGATACCTACATTTCGGATACCGTGTCTTGACCCTATGACATTTTCAGTGTGCACTGAACTCACTGAGTTTTCTTTAAGTCTCTTTCATTTTATTAAATACGAGGGCGTGACGCCAGGGAGAGAGGCAGAGACTATACATGGACATGTCTTTCAGACAGACGGACCCTCTGTCCACTCCTGGTGGTACATTATAGGAGTGGACAGTAATTATTGGTCATCCTCTCCAAGTAGGGTAGACTTGAGGAACCGCATCAGGCCAAGTGCGGTCTAATTTGACCAGGTGTAACTAATCAGCCCGACCATTCTCAGAGTCCTCCCATGCAGACATGATGTAAGCTTACGGATGTTTGTTTTCTCATGCCTCTAAGTTCTGGTGGTAATTTGTTTTGCAACAACAGATAAGCAACATAGTGCTTGCTCTTTGTCCTCTGAATACCCTGCTCCTCCTGACAGGGCACCTGCTCGCGGTGGTGTAATTACTCATTTGCTTGTTTATCTCATCACACTCTGTGCTAAGGGAGATCATATTTCCATTGCCTTTGCACCCTGACCACCGGGCACACATCAAAACATGTTGTTGGAAAAATAGCTTTCACCTGGGCTGGGTACTAGGACTGAAAAGGCGTTCGTGGTTTTATGCTCTCGTCTACTTCGAAGGCAACCCTAAGAGGTCGGCGCACACAGACGTGGGGAATCAAGACCTAGTCGGCAACTAATAAGAACAAGACTCAAACCCTAGTCACCCAATTCCTAGTCTGTGCTCCTTCTCCCAAGCAGCTGCTCTCCAATTTGCTTAGCCATAGAGAAAAACTAAGAAATCAATGTTACCCAGCTACGGGCAGAGAGCGCCACAGAAGAGATACTAGATAAGAACTGGCCCACTTGTGGGGCTGGAGGTGGTTCAGTGGTTAAGACCACTGGCTGCTCTTCCAGAGGTCCTGGGTTCAATTCCCGACACCCACATGGTGGCTCACAACCATTTATAACGGGATCAATGCCCTCTTATGCTGTGCAGATGGATATACAAAGCACTGTATACACAGATAAATAAATCTTAGTGGAGGAAAGTGGCTCATCTGTGAGCTGACCTGTTCTGCAAGCCTCACTCTCTAAAACATTCAAAGTCTCCTTGAATGCTTATAGCGATTCTGAGAGGAGAACTATGTATTCTTATTCTTTTGGGGATAAGAAAATGAAGGCAGAATTTCATCCACATCTATGCAGTTGCCCTTAGACCCAAACATAATTGAACTCTAGTTCAAGGCTATTTTTAATTTTTTTTCATTTCATGTGTATGACTGGGGCTTTTGGTTGTTTTAAATTAGTCTATTTTTTTGAGATTATATCATAGTTATATAATTTCCCCCTTCCATACTCTCCCATGTGTCATCTCAGCCATGCTTTTACTCTTTCAGATTTATGATCTTTTTCTTTCATTGTGACATATATATATATATATATATATATACATATATATATATATATATGTCTAAATTCATAAAGGCATCCTGCTCTATCTGTATAATATTACTTGTATGTGTGCTTTCAGGACTGACCACTTGGCTTCGGATAACCAAGTGGTGTGCTCTTCTCTGGGGAATTTGTTTCTCCCGATCTCAGCACTCCAATTTGTTTCTCCCGATCTCAGCATTCCTTGGATGCCTGTAGCTCTTTGTCTAGGGTTGAGGCCTCAGGAGCCTTTCCCCATCCATGTTAGCATGCCTGTTGGTGCCATCCCTGTTCAGGTCATGTTTAGGCAGCCATGTTGGTACCCAAGGAGGCCAGAAAAAGGTGCTGGATCCCCTGGTACTGGAGTTATGGACAGTTGCTAACTGCTGGGTGGGTGTTTGAAATCAAACCTGAGTCCTCTGGAACAAAAGCAGTGTTCTTAACCTCTGAGTCATCTCGCCAACCCTCAAACTGCTTCCTTTCCCCAACACTGGTAGATTTCAGCTCCAAATCTAATTCCTGACTACATTAATGGCACATGGAACAAGATACCACAGCCTCAGACCTGTGCAAAGTAAAGATACTTACCTGTATGGCTGTATTCTGTCTCATCTACATGCTGGGCTCCTATCACCGACACTTGGGACCAGGGCCAATACTTTATATTGTTGTGTTGATCAAAGAAAAGAAACAGACTATTTTGCCTGGAGACTTCTTCAGTTTGCACACCTTGAAAATGGGAAAAATTATTATAGTGATGATCAAATGAGATTTTCGTTTTGATTTTGGTTGGGGGGTTTTGTTTTTTGAGATAGGGTCTCTCTATGTAACCCTGGCTGTCCTGGAGCCATGTAGACCAGGCTGACTTTGAACTCACAGAGGTCCACCTGCCTCTGGCTCCTGAGTGCCAGATTTAAAGGCATGCACCACCATGCCCAGTGATAAGATTTTTTTAATGTGTGTGTGTGTGTGTGTGTGTGTACAGGTACATGAGTGTACACATAAATGTTAAGGTGGGCACACACAGTGGCCAGAAAAAGGCACAGGATCCCCGGAATCAGACTTACAGGAAATTGTGAGCTACCCAATGTGTAAAGAGCTGTGGTCCTTTGCAAAAGCAGTAAGCATGCTTAACTGCTGAACTATCTCTCTGGCCCCCACGTGGTGCTTCGGAGACAGGATCTCTCACTGGCACAAGAGCTCCAAGGATCTCTACTTCTCCAGCACTTAGATTATGAGCCTGTGCCACCATGCCTGGCTTTGTGGTCAGGGTGGGGTATTATTGTTTTTCTAGGCAATCATTTTACCAAGTGATTTCACCCCAGCCTGAGAAGGGCATATTTTAAATGGCTATCACGAAGTAGGCGTTCACAAGCATATTCACGTTCTTCTCCTCTTCTGGCTGTCTCCTGTGCTCTGCTTTTCAGGACAAGAACACACACCCTTTGGTGAGCCTCTCTTCTCCACTGGAAGCTGAAAACTCAGCAGCAGGTGCAAAAGGCCTAAGTGAAAACTCGTCAGAGCCTCGTCCAGCCTCCAGTCTGCAGAAAGCTCCGCCCTAAAAGTTTTCCATTCTGCAGCTGTGCAGTGGGAGTGGAGACCTCTGCCCTCGGAGGGCAGGTATTCTGAGGAGTCAGACATGGTTTAAGCCTCAGCTGCTCTGTGGGACATAATGGGATGTGGCTCAGAGCTGTCTGACGCCATGCAGAGTTGGGTAAATCTGGCCTGTTCTCATCCCTCCAAGAGACCTTTCACCTTGGGGGCTCAGCGACTAGAACAACATTTCAGGAGTCGACAGTTTCACGTTCCCCAGTGAGCCATGGAGCAGACTGCTGCTGGCTGGATATCAGGCCAAACCCATGAGCTGTGAGAGGGATGTCCATCTGATCCCGGGGAACCGAGAACCGATTCACATGCTTGAAGACACAGCTTCCTGCCAGGAAGAAGGTCTGGGCTTTGTTTCTTATGTGTCCCAACCAATGCGTAGATTGGCCTCTCCAAGGTCTCACAGGTGGACAGTGGAGGTGGTCAGGACAAGGACAAGCCTGATTGTCATCGTTCTTGTCAATGTAGTTTGGAGAAGCTAACCAAGCAAGACCCGGTAAGACCAAGTGTTGGGGGAAGCACGGTATTGTGAGATAAACATTGCCTTAAACGTTCGAGAAACTTCTGCCTAAGTACTGCTCTCCCCCCTCCTATTCTTAGAAAAGATAACACTGGGGCTTTAGAGGTGATTCTGGGGTTTAGAGCACTTGTTGCTCTTGCAGAGGACCCAGGTTTGGTTCCCAGCACCGACACGGCAGCTCAGAACTGTCTCTAACTCCAGCTCCAGAAGGATCCAGTGTTCTCTTCTGGCCTTCAGTGCTCCTCACTGGTACCAGGAGCACATGTGGTGCACATGCTGATCAAACGCTCATATACATAAAATAAAATAAACTGAAAAAAATTGTCAAAAAGAAAAGTTACCTACTCATGTTCAGTCTTAGTTCCCTTACGTGTAAAGTGATAAGAGATAGCATTGCCTGGTTTGCAAGTCAGAGGTAAAAACCACACGGCATTACCAAATGTAAAGAGCGGTGTTCAGTCAGTCATTTACTTTACATTTCACTTGGAGGGAGGTGAATAACAGTCACAGTTGGGGGCAGTACATGTAAAATTCTGCATAACTCATTTGACTTGTTTCAGACAGCATCTCTTGGAGAACCGCCTATGCGCTCGTACGTTGATAATGAACGAATGGTCTTTGGACTAAAGGAGCTCATGCTTTCGCAACTGAGACAGATGGGTGAGTAAGCAGATTATTTCCATCAGGGTGACTGGTGATAAACACCAGCGAAGATGCCCAGGAGAAGAGTGGAGGCGGTGCTTACACATCTCGGGGAGGCAGGGGAGGGAGGGAGACCTTGCTAAGGAAGAAACTCTTGGATTCTGAGGATTGGGTTTTAAATGATGACCAAGCAGGAATTCACCCACTGGAGTGAACGTGGGACGTTGTTGTGATTCCCTTAAGAGCGTGAAGAAAAAGCACAGAAGAATGAAAGCTTCGCTGTGAGGGAGGGGCGTGGAGTGGTTGGCCTATCAGTAACACGGTTAAGTATAATCAGCCACAGGTGTTCCCAGAAGACCTAAGAGCCAGGCTTTGCTCTGCAGGCAACAAGGGGGCAAAAATGATTGATCTGTGCGTGTACATATGTGTGTGTGCGCGTGCATGGGCATGGGCATACAGGTAGGCGTGCGTGTGTACACGTGTGCATATGTGTGTCTCTAGCCCAGGCTGGTCTCTTAACTCATGGCAGACTTCCTGTTCCAGCCTCCCAAGAGTTGAGATTACAGGACATATACTACCATATACAGCAATTAATTAATTTATTTCAAGAAAAATAACTGAGTGTAGAATGAGTATGAAAGGGGAAGAGGCTAGGAGCCTAGAAGCCCGTGGAGATGAGCTACCCATCTAAGCCACTTAATCAGAAAGCCGGAGGGTGATCTAGGAGAGGCTGAACCCGGCTCTGAGACTGAACTTTATTTGTTCACTTGCTTCTCTGTCCACATCTCTGATGTCGATGTGACACTGATAGTGTCACAGTTTAATAGAACGGCAGGGCTATGTGGGCAGGAATGTCAAGTGTGGTCTTTAAACCCAGCACTCAAGAGGCAGAAGTAGACAGATCTCTGTGAGTTCAAAGCCAGCCTGATCTACAAAATGAATGCCAGGACAGCGACGGCAGAAAAACCCTGCCTCAAAAAAAATCAAAGATAGACAGATAGATAGATAAATAGATAGACAGATAGATAGATAGATAGACAGACAGACAGACAGACAGATGGATAGATGATAGATAGATGGACAAATGGATAGATAGATGGACAGATGGATAGATAGATGGATGGACAGACAGACAAACGGATAGATAGGTAAGTAGGTAGGTAGGTAGGTAGATAGATAGATAGATAGATAGATAGATAGATAGATAGATAGATAGATAGATAGATAGAAGAGCTACAAAAGGCCAACCAGGCTTGGATTAGCCCCAAACCCTCCCAAACCAATAGTTTACCACTGCCTTAAATTATACGAGGCATTTTGCTGAACTTCACTTCCTGAGACCTGTCTTCACAAGAAAAATGAAAACTTTTATTGGAATCAACCATTCATCCATCCACCCAAGGAATGTATTGCCAGCGCTTTAGTCTAGTCTTTGATCGATTCAAGTCTTTGATCAATAGAAGGCAATTCTGTCCTCAGAGAACTCACGACTTGGTACAGCTATGAAAAGTAGGGTGAATGCTTGGTGGCGTGAATGCTAACCCAACAAGAGGGGTGTGCTTACTGCTATGGGAGCTCGGAAGAAGGATACAAGGACCTGGAGCAGTGGGCCCTGTGCTAAACTCGGGGGCAGGAGCCCTCTAAACTAAGCAAAGACCATGCGCTCTTTGGGGCTACAGTGCAGGCTGGGGATGAGTAGGACTCAAGCTCAGTCATGGGTCCTAAGGCTGGACACTTGCTTAGTCTGCTTCTGTGACTACACCAGGCTTGGCGTACAGCTTCGCTCTGATTAATGACACTAACCAAATCAACTAGGTGACATTGCTCTGCCATCTTCTCATTGCCTTTTTTAGTGTCTGCTTCAAGGTACCCCCATCCCTCTGATCTCAAGGATCCTTCAATAACTGAGAAATCATGCCAGCTCCTCCCGGGCAGTGCCCTGGATTCCCGGCTCATTGTCATTCGTTTCTCTCTCAACTGTTAGCTTCTGGGTTCAATTTCTGAACGGCTTTTCCATGATGAAAGAGCACGAAGATCCCTCCCCTTTGCGCATGACTACCAGATAGTAGACGGCACTTGTCCTGTGAGAGGCGTCTGCATTCAACATTGTTTTTCTGAGTGAGGCACATGCTGTCACCATTTTGCCGAGTACACTCTCTCTTCATGGGTTTTTGTGACATTCCCTTCTCTGAAATTGCCACCTACCTTTTGGCAGCCTCCTTAATAAAGCTCTGTCGTGATACTTGTCACACTCGGGGTTTTAACCATCTGTCTATTTTGGTCCCTCCCACCAGAAAAAAACTCGGTGGCCTACTCATTTTTCTTCCCTAGTTCCTACACATGGTGACATCAATTAATGCTGGAAGAATGAATGGATTAGTAAAGGAATGGACAGAAGTCTTTATAACAGGCATCTATAAACAGAACATTACTCTACAGGTCAGAAAGCCACATAGGGGGCTGGAGAGATGGCTCAACAGTTAAGAGCACTGCCGGCTCTTCCAGAAGACCCTAGTTCAATTCCCAGCACCCACGCAGCAGCTCATACCTGTTTCTAACTCCAGTTCCAAGGCTTCTGACAGCCTCACACAGACGTACACACAGGCAAAACACCAATGATCATAAAATTAAAAAAAAAAAAAAGAGTGCTACACAGAAGTGGGTGGGGGTGCACGTGCCTTCAGGAGCCAGAGTCAGGCGAATCTCTGAGTTCAAGGCCAGCCAAAGCCAGTTCCAGGACAGCCAGGGTTACACAGAGAACCTCTCTTGGGGAAAAGAAAAGAATGTCACACAGAAGAGGCCATTGGAGAACCAACAGTTGAGACTTACTTACAGCCCTGTCCTGTATGAAAGGCCTGTGTTTGCACAACCTGGTAGCAGTTTCCTCCAAGATCGAAACACTCCATCTTCCAGGGAAGCTCCTTAATTCAGCGCCATAAACTGACCAGATTCAGTAGGTCCCTCCCTCTAAGGATGAGTAGGCAATAAAGATTGCTGAGATGAGCCGAGCTTCAAAGAAAGTTGAAAAAAGGCCAGCTGCCTGGAAGAAGCAGAAGCTGGTGGATCAACCTGGAAGAGGATTAGGTCAACTGATCGACCTGGGGAAAGATCCTCTCCAACCTGTTGAGCTGTCTGCGGCTGTGCAGCGTGCTCCAGGTTCCCAGCTTTGTGAGCAGCTGTCTTTGAGTCATTTCTGCTTCTATATGTAATTTTTCACCCATATTCTTGTAAGCAGTCGCTGTACAACTCACAGGTTCACCAAGTTGGACTTTGGTGATATCTGTACTTTGTTCTGTTGTGGGATCCCTATCTGGGATGAGTGGATGTGTGTGCGTGCATATGTGTGTGTGTGTGTGCACATGCATGCATGCCTGTGGGGGGTGGGGGGTGTTACATCATCCCGGGAAGTCACAGAAAACCTGGTTCTTGAGTTAGTCATGAGAAAGATGCTATTTCAGAGAGCAGAGAGAAGACAATATCTTGGATTTTAATTGCTTTGGGTCCTGTCTGTCCTCATTTCTCTAGGCCCAGCTCTTTGGGCCTGTGCTACTTTGTATGACTCTTATTCATGAACTAAGTCCTATTAATGATACATTACTTGACCTGAATTTTGCCTCGACATAATGCAGTGGAAATCACCAAAGAAAAGTAAATTAAAGTTAATACTCACTGAAAAGAAATGACTAGTCTCTGGCTTATTATTAGAACTGACCTTCAATCTAATTTTTTATAGTAAGATCAAAAATACTAAGAAATCTGACTGCCTAGCCATGTACACCATATGCTAGGAGTTCTCAGCCAAGGCCAAATATGGGAAAAGTCAAACAGCGTATAGGAAACAAATAAATGAATCACAGTGTTGGGTAAACTGCAATTTGGCATAGACCCATGAACACAAACCACAGAAGTCTCTGTGAAGATGGAAGAAATGGCTTTGGAAATGTTTCAGAAAGGGATTTGAATTTGACCCAAAGAACTGACTACAGCTGAACCTTGTCCTGCGAGCCCAATACCAAAAGTTTTCCACCGGTTCATGCTTGCTCACCGGTTTATTCATGGATCATTGGCGAGGCTCCCTGCGGAGGGAACTGTGCTCAAAATGACACTGGCCATCAGGATGCCTGCCTTCCAGAGCCAGGCTGATCCCTGGCTGTGGGAAGCAAAGATAACACAGCCTAAAAGCAGAGCAGTGCAGTGAGCTCTGGGCTCAAGTTTGCAACTGTACACAATGGTCTGATATCTGATTTATCTATTGCTTAGAGAGAATGGGATGTTTTAATTTATGGAATATTAATTTTATGACTGAAGTCACCTCGTAAATAAGCAGAACCAAAAGGAGGAAAAGAATGTGGGCCTAAGTTTTTCTAAACACATCAAATTTTGTTCTAGACCCAAATGGAAATACAAAAATGACAAGATACAAATCCTCCTGTCTCCAGAACTATAGGGGAGCTTGGGAGATGGCTCAGCGACTGGCTGCACACACGTGAGGGCTCAACTTTAGACTCAACACAGTGATGGGAAAAGCTGCAGGTGGGGACAGGGGAGATGGTTCAGTTGTTAGGAGTACTTGCTGATTTTCCAGAGGGCCAGAGTTCAGTTACCAACACCCATATCAGGCAGCTCACAACTGCCTGTGACATAAGCTCCAGCGAATTCAACACCCTGTTCTGGCCTCCATGGACACACACACACACACACATACACACACACACACCGGGTGGTCCACAACTGCCTATATCTCTAGTGCTATTGGATCCGTTGCCCTCATCTGGACTCCGAAGGCACACACACACATGGAAAATACACATACATAAGTAAACAGGGGTGGCGTTTTTGCTTCCCCGCCGCCCAGTCCCAAAATAATTACACCAAAGCTGAATATTAATTACCAACTGTTTGACCTATTGCTCAGGCTTATTGCTAACTAGATCCTACTTGTAAATTAACCCATTTCTATTAATCTATGAATTTCCACATGACTCATGACTTTACCTGTGGTCTAGTACATCTTGTTACTCCAGGGGCTGGCTTGCATCTCCTAGGCTCTGCCCTTCTATCTCCCTGTATTTTCAATTTGCCTTCCCACCTGTCCTGCCTTGCTATAGGCCAAATCAGCTTCTTTATTAACCAATGAGAATAAAACATACAAAAAGAAGGGTTATCCACAATACAAATAAACTAAAGAAAATAATAAATATTTTAAAAAATAGCTAGACGCAACTGTAAACCCAGTGTTGGGGTGGTGGAGACAGGGAGAATCCAAGAGTCCTATGGTCATATAACCTAGCTAAAGCAACAAACTCAAGATTCCACGAGAGATCCTATATCAAAAAGTAAGAAAGATAGTAATAGACAACGATATCCAATGTCTACCTCTGGCCTCCACATGAGCATACATGGATACATGCACCTGCACATGCAAGTGCATACACATACATACAATACACATGTACTCACATGTCCTAACAAACATAGACTAAAGAATTGCAGAGTCTAGGAGGGAACACAGGATAGAAATTATACATGTAAAATACAGAAGAAGAGTTGCAATTGCTTCATGTATTAAACATTCACTACAGGCAAGACACTGTTCTAAATGCTTGACGTTTTATTGTCTCATTGAAATGTAACAGGGCCTGTATGAGGTAAAAACTGCCCTCAGGTCTGTTTTACAGACGAAGAAAAGTGTTTCCTTATTTTCAACTTGCCCCAGATTTTATTGTTGGCAATCCCTGGGGATCTGAATTCGAGCAGAGTAACTGTTGGTGCCTGAGCCATTCTGGGAGGGATCTTCTAAGATGTGGGTTGTGGTTGAGATACAGCTCGTCCCCCAAAAGTTCAAAGGTTAGAGGCTTGGAGGTAGAAGAGAGAGAGGATGGGGTCTTGCAGTGTGTAGCTAAATTCCGAAGATTTTATGCTCATGAATGGAATGGAACTCGGTTAGTTGCTGAAGAGTTGGTTACTATAAGTGAATTTGGCATCCCTTTGGAATCCATGTCCTGAGTGTGCAACTTACTCTGCTTGTACAACCCCCTCCCATGTATGACCTCCACTAAAAGGAGCTCACTAATGCCAAGCATATAGCAAAGCTTCAACCTTGAATTCTCCAAACCAGGGTCTCAATAAATTACTTTCCTTTATGAAGTCCCCTGGCTCAAACATTTTGCTACAGAAATGTAAAATGGCCCAAGAAAAGTACATACACAAAAATGTCCTGGACAAATCAGGCATGGTATATGTGTAATCTAAGTACTCAGGAAGTATGTGTGGCTATCCTGGGCTACACTAAGAAAATAATGTGTCAAAAAATAAACAAACACAAATAAAAAAAACACCACCAACAACAACAAAAAAAAGCTGGGTGGAGGTGACGCATGCCTTTAATCCCAGAACTTGGGAGGCAGAGGCAGGTGGATCTCTGTGAGTTCAGGACCAGCTTGGTCTACAGAGTGAGTTCCAGAACACAGAGAAGTCCTGTCTTGAAAAACAAACAAAAAACAAGTCCTGGAAATTCAACAGAGTGGGATGTTTGCTCCATCAGAAGAGAAAGACTTGTCCACTGCCCCTGAGGGCAAAGAAGATCTGAGATGACAGTTTGCGAACGAGAGTCAAGGAAGAATTCAGAGAGAAGGAGAGAAGTGTTCACACTGGAAAGAGTAACATTAGAAAAACACGTAAGCTTGAACTGCTGAGACAGCTCAGTAGGTGAGAAGCACACAAGCCAGATGACCTGAATTTAGTCCCTAGAACACACAAACACACACACGTACACATACGTACACACACACACACACACACACACACGCGTGCGCACACGGATGCAAGTGCACACAGACGCTCACATATGCACATACACAAACACACAATGTGCACACATACAAGTAGATTTTAAAATAAGATACACATTTTAATCTTTTAAGAAGATTAAGAAGATCTTTTAAAAAGATCAGCCGGGCTGTGTCAGAAGTCACAGAAGCTAGCAGAGGGGAAGAGGACTGAGAGTAAGCCAGAGCCTGGCTGGAAAGGTTCACTTGTAATGAGCGTCTTTTCTAATCTAGTCTCGGTTCACTGCCAAACTGCAGAGCCAAAAACCATGCCTCGAGAAAAAACTTGACAAGATAATTAAACAAATGAGACAGTTCAAAGTAAAGAGATCAGTCTGTTCTAGAGACCGAAAAGGGCAAGGGGACAGTGTGTCTCAGTTCCCATTCCAGCTTTCTGTTTGTCAACTGTGAGCATCTTCCCAGATGGTCCAGGACTGCACAGTCCACTGGACAAATGCTCACACACCGTAGTCGTAGATGGAAGTCGGATGTGAGGCAAGAGTCCTTAATTATCATGCGACCTTTTAAGGCTTCTTCAGAAATAGTAGGGGTGTGGCTTACTGCCATAACACAATATGTAATTACATATCGCCTCTGTACTTATTTTAGAACTGACGGGGCCTTTAGAAATCATGCGATCTATGCCCAGTTGTTTTGCAGATGAAGCTAGAATGGTTAAATGGATTGACTTAAAGTAACCCAGGAAATCAATAGTAATGTGTTTAACACAGACTATTGTTTGGGGTAGACATGCGTAGTGGTAAACCTCCGACCCAATAAGTGGTACTTCTAATAAAATGATCTTCCTGTGTGTCGTGGTTGATAAACTTTGCTGCACTTTGCTTTGTTTAGTTTAGCTTATGTTCTGTTTAGTCAGAATCTGTGTCTGTTAGAGACTTTTAGCCGCTCTTTGCAGCCCGTGTTCCTCCCAGGACAGTGACCATCGAATGTATGTTTCATCCTAAGTGAAGCCTACTTGATTCCTCTGGGATCCAAGGCAGGAGTCCCAGGTCTTAAGAAATTGTACTTGGTCTGTCCCAAGGCCCCATCAGCTCAACTCCTCTTTGTCTTCTACTTACAAATAACAAGGACTTCGTATATCTGTGATCTTGAGTAGATGGCCAGTCCAGTGGCTGCGGCAATCGAGAGGTTGTGTGGCATGTCAAGATGGCTCAGCAGGTAAAA